AAAAAAAAAAAAAAAAAAATATCCACCTGGGCAATTTAGTGAGACCCTGTCTTAAAAAAAGGCAAGGGCTGTAGCTCAGTGGCAGAGCACCCATAGGTTTGACACTCGGTCCAGAGAGAGAAACAGAGGAAAGGGAAGCGAAGGGAGGGGAGAAGTGCAGGTAGGCAGGCTGGCAGACAGAAGCAAGCCAAGCTGGCTGATTACTGAACAGTATGACAAAGTAATCCTAATAACTGTGTTTTGGTTTTTTTTCCATCATTCTAAAGAACAATGCTAAAATAGTGAAGAAAACTTCACTCCTAAACAAACTATACACACCATCGGCAATTTCATCAAGGCTGTCATCAACCCCTCGCTTTACAACCCTGGGCCTTGTCTGTCCATCCTGTGTGGTTCCCCACTCATCAGGCACTGAGGAAGGCTGGAACTGAACAATAACCTTCAAAACACAACAGGATTATGACAGAGTTCATTAGCAAATTATTTTCCACAATGGCTAAATACTGTATTTTAATACATAAGAAATTCTGCTTCATTGTACAGTTTATATATCAAGTAACAGTACTGTTCCTCCAAACCAATTCTGTAAGACTACAGCTAGTACTAACCATCAAAATTAAACAAATCAATACCATCACTTCCAGTATCTAGGGTAGAAAAAATCATACAAATAAACCAGAAGTCTATAAAAATTAACATAAAACTCCAGGTTTATACATTAGAAATCAAGGACTGTACATTGGCACATGCCTGTAATCCCAGCTACTCAAGAGGCTGAGGCAGAACGTTAAAAACTCAAAGCCAGCCTAGGTAACTTAGCCAGATCCTATCTCAAAATTTAATTTAATTCTTCAAAGTGCTATGAAGTAGCTCAGTGGTAAAGCACTTCCCTAGCATGCTTAAGGCTCTGAGTTCAATTCCCTGTACCACCAAAAGAAAGAAAAAAAGGGTAAATTGTTTGTAACTGAGGAGTCTTTGTCTTATAATCATATGTAAGACAAAGTCCTTTAAATGGCAAAATTCCCAATTTATTTACAAATTTAGTGTTTCTTTTTGCCTTTTTTCCCCAGCATTGAGGACTGAACCTAAGAAACACTGAGTTAATCCCACACACACCCCCATTTCTTGTTTTTAATTTTGAAATAGAGTCTCAGTAAGTTAATCAGGGTGCCCTTGAATTTTGGATTCTCCTGCCTCAGTCTGCCAAACACCCAATATTATAGGTGTGCACCATCATACCCAGCTACAAGTTCAGTTTCAGTAACAAAAACTGAATGCCAAAACCCGCCACTCACTTTTTGGAAAGATATCTACTCAGTTAAAACAACTGATTATATTTATCCCTATGTCAGATGTTTTTCTTGAAAAAGAAATGAGTATCAGTATGGCATGTAAAATGTTTGTGTTTGTATTTTTAAAAAAAAGTTAAGGGGGCTGGGATTTAGCGCAGTGGTTCTGCCGCCTGCCTTGTAAGCACAAGGGCCCGAATTCGATCCCTGGTACCAAAAAAACAAAACAAAACAAAACAAAAAGTTAAGGGTGTAGCCATCAATGGATAGTGCAGAGTGAGAGCTTTTATTTTTCACTGCATGTCTTTTTATACTGTTTAAATTTTAGTGACTGCCTCGCAAGTGCAAGGACCTGAGTTCAATCCCCGGTATCAAAAATAAATAAATACATAAATTTTACTGACATTTTTATTTTTATTTATTTCCAAATCATTAAGGATAGAGAAATACTAGACTGGGTTACTTTTGTATTCTTTCGTATTTTTCTGTAAAATAAAAATCCTATGTTCTGAGAACTACTATATGCTAAGCCCTATTAATTGCAGAAATTACTTCACCTAAAATATGACTCTGGGAGGTAAATATCATTACAGGTGAGAACCTAGAGCTCAGAGAAAATATGGATGGTAAAGAATAAATTATAATATCACTAAGGGCCAGGGTTTTAGCTCAGTGATTCTGCTGCCTGCCTTGAAAGTGCAAGGTCCTGAGTTTGAGCCCCAGTACAAAAAAAAAAAAAAAAAAATCACTAATAAATTAAAAGAAAAAGCCAAGTAAGGTGGTGCACACCTGTAGTCCCAGCTACTCAGGAGGGGCTGAAGCAGAAAGATCACAAATTCGAGGCCAGGCTGGGCAACTTAGCAAGACCTGCTCTAAAATAAAGCAGAAAGTACCTAGGATGTAGCTTGGAGCTTCCTGGATTCAATCCCCAGTACCACAAGAGGAGGAAAGGGAAGAGGAAAAGAGGAGAAGGGAGAGAAAGAAAGGGGAGGGGAATGGTTTAAAGTTAAAAAGAGAAAGGAGAAATTGTATTGAAAGGTTAAAGCAAGCCATCATCAAGAGCAAGGCAGCAAATTACGGCCTGTAGGACAAATCTGGCCCACTACTACCTGTTTTTATGAAGTTTTATTGAGCACATCACAGTCCCTGGTTTACATATTCTCTTCTGGCTGCTTTCACAATACAGCAGCAGAGTTGATGGCTGCAAAAGACCTCATGGCTGGCCATGCCTTAAATTATTTACTCTCTGGTCCTCTGAGAAAGCTGGTTGACTTCTAATCAAGTGAAAAAATGTATCAAGCTACTTCTATGGTGCAGACCAAGCTTCAGTTAACACATTCCCAACACAGAAACTTCACCAGAACAATTTAAATGGTGTTTTTGTGTAGTGGCTAAGCTTAATTCTGTCAACTTGATTGGCCTGGGAGCCTAGGGTGAAGCACACCTCAGGTTGTGTCTGGGAGGGTCATGGAGGTATGACTGTGGTTACTATATGTGGTCTCCTCTCTGGTACTATTTCCCTGCTCTGCTTCCCAGCCACCAAAATGAGCATTTTTGCTCCACCACCATGAGTTTGCTTTGGTGCTGGCTGACCACGGACTATGTACTCTGAATCTGTGAGCTAAATTTCCCTTAAATTATGTGTGTCAGGCATTGTATTCCAGTGACAAGAAAGCAGACTGATGGGTTGTTTCCATGATCCATAATTACAGTAAACTACTTTAAAAGCAATGCTATTACATATGTCTAACTGTAGAAATTACTAAAAATGAACATTTAGCAAACACATACAGCAAAGTAACTCTTAAATGTACTTAACACGTTAAAATCTTCAAATGCGCCATACCTTTGGATTGTGCATAACAATAGTCTCTCCACTTGGAAACTCTAATCTTCGGTGCCACTGATTTGTGGTTACAGCTTTTTTATATTCAGCCTACAATAAAGGAAACAATACATAATCTAGTTTGACAAATCTCTAGTACATCAAGAAAAAGTATAAAGGAGGCAGGGGTGTGGGGAAAAAAATGAGAACCAAGACCTGTCATGTAAAGGTACAAGATCCCAATGATGAATGTAACTGTGCTGTATACTTAAAAAGTACCAATAAACTCAATAAGATTAAAAAAAGAAAAAGTATAGGGGAAGATGAAAACTATGACGGTGACAAAATCAACAGTAATAGCAGCTCTAATTTACTGATAATCACACTTTTTATACCTTATACACATTACCTCATTTAAGTAATTATTCTCAGTCACTCCGAAATAATACTATCCCCATTGTAGAGAGAAGCCAAGGTCTAGACAGTGTATTGGTTTTCTAGGATGGATGTCATTAAGTACCACCAACAGAGTAACAAATTTATTGCCTCATAGTTATGAAGGCAAGAAGTCCAAAATAAGGAGTCACCAGGACAACAGTCCCTCTGATGCCTGTAAAGAATCCTCCTTACCTCTTTCTACCTTCTGGTGTTGCCCTTAACCTTCGGCATTCCTTCACTTGCAGCATGACTCCAACCCTTGCCTCCATTGTCACATTACATTCTCCTTGTTGGTCTTAACATGGCTGTCTTCTTACAAGGACGTCAGCCACATTGAAGCAGTGATGGCAAACCTTCTAGAGCTTTCAATGATACAAACAGCCCACTGCAGCACACGTGCCACAACTCTGCCACCTCTGGACTGCAGTCTATTTACTCAAGTATGACCTTGCCTTAGGTAACTTAATCTGCAATGACTCTATTTTCAAACAAGGTCACATTCTGAGGTAATAGGAGTTAGTACTTCAACACATTTGGGGGCAGAGTGGGAATAGGGACAAGGTTCAACCCATAACAAACATTTTAAGTACTGTACATGGTTAAGATTACACAACTAGTGTGAAGCAATGGCAGAACTGTGGTTCATTCCCACCCAGGACTTTCTGCCTCCAGTATCTTTACTGTGCCATCATTTTCTTACTCTTTCTCTTTTTTTTCAGCTACACCATTCTGCTTTCTATAAAGTAGAAGTCTGTTGAGGGCCTCTTAGGAAGAGATTCAATAGGAAGCTAGGGAAACCACTGACACAACCATTTTACATACCTGCTTGTTTTTTGCTAATTAACAAGTATAAATTGTTACAAACTCTTTTTAAAAAACTAGTAATAGGGATGACATTTCTTCCTATTGTTTTAAATTATTTTCACACGCACGTCAGAGGTTATTTCAACCTCTTGCTAAAATTAATCTGAAAATGTCTATATGCTTGCCATATACTGTTAACATCAAATCTGGAAACCTGAACACTTTTTGAAAGTTCTATGCAAACACTTTATTGGATCTATGATGTGTCCCTGAAAAGCAAATTCTGTTTTCAGATTCAGAGACTATGATCAGCACTTTGTGAAAGATGGCACCACTTAAAAAGCAATCTTCCTGACAGGTACAGTGGTGCACTCCTGTAATTCCAGCACCTAAGAGGCTGGGGCAGGAAGATCACAAGTCCAAGGTCAGCCTGGGCTATACTGTGAGACTATCTCAAAAAAAACGTAATCTTTCGTAGAGCTTCTTCATTTAGCTGATTAAGCCACTTGGAGTTTATTTTTGTATATAATATATCCACACTGGATGAAGAAAGGAGAAAGGTGTAGGCAAGGTATTCAGTATTAACAAGCATTGTGGTACAGGCACTGCCCAGTGAGATCAGTCTCTTGTGTAAAGTTTCTGCACCAAACCAGTGTGGAACAGCCAACCCTCAGGCCCAACACATCCCTCTGTACCAATGCAAAGTGACCTTTAGGACACCTTCTAAAGGGAGAAAAAAAAATTGTAGAGAAAAACCCCAAAGTGAATTTTGTTGATGTAAAGAGAATCAAATGCTACTTGCATGTAGAAAAATGGGGGGGGGGACAGAAACAGTATACTCCAAATTTGATAAACTATAGGTGAGCCCAGGTCCCAAGCCCTACATCCACAGCACCACCTGTGGCCAACCCATCCAGTCGACTGGGACACAGACCTGCTACTTAGTTCTCCCAGACCTGGGGCAAACAAGGGTGAATGACAGAGACACGGAGTCAGCCTAACTCATAGGCAGCCAGGGAGCGCTAGTCTTCATAGTCAGCAAAGGAGTCCTACCTTTGGCTTACCTCACTTTCATTCACACAAACACGGGCACAAGCAATCTAAGTAACACAAGCGTCATCTGTTTTCCAATATCCATCAGTACATTCTCTGGTAAACAACCTCAACTGTCTGAAGTTATTCCCTGCAATATACAATCACCCCCGAGTGCAGACTTTCTCCTTTTTGTTCATAGAGGCGGCCAATTAAGCCTCACTTCTCTAATCTCTCACAGGGGTTTGAGTAGCACTGGATAGTAACAGCTAAAAAAGTGACTTTGATCTTGTACGCTTGTATATTATCTAAACATGTTTAAATGAGGGCACATTCCTGTGTATCTTTGTGGGGGGGCAAGGGAGTACTGGGGATTAAACCCAAGGCTTTCACATTGAACTACATCCTCAACCCTTTATTTATTTTTTTTTTATTTGAGATAGGGTCTTTCTAAATCAATAAGTTGCCCAGGCTGAGCTCCAACTTTTGATTCCCCTGAGTGCTGAGATTGTAGGCATGAACTTCTGCACCTGGCTTATATGTAACTTATAAATAGGACAGCTAAGGTATAAAGGCGCCTCAGAGAATAGGGATATGTCAGAGTGTCTTGCACAATTCAGTGAAGAGGTTGCTCTGATACACAGGACATGAATGTTCATTTTCTGATACTGTGTGCCCCTATTCTAGGAACTGGAATTTCAGAGTTTGATGCCATTATAAGTATTATGGTGCCACTATGATGCCAACTGAGTATTCCTATCTTTGTCCAATTCTGTACTTTCCAAGGACTTTCCTGATTATGATGATTTTGGTTCCCATATGGTTTTTCTATGGAGAAGACTGTTAACCAGCTGGACACTGAGCATAAAATTTTTCATTGTAAATTAATAAAGCAACTTTATTTTGCCAAAAAAAAAAGTAATCTTTGAGAAAAGCATAACAAGCTGCCTTGTAAATAAAGTCAGCTCCATCAGTAAGTACTACCACATAAAACTCCAATCCATACTAGATACTAGACCTGCATTTTTTTTTTTTTTTTTTTTTTTTTTTAGTACCAGGCATCGAACTCAGGACCTTGTGCTTGGCAAGGCAGGCACAGTGCCACTGAGCTAAATCCTCAGCCCATAGACCTACATTTTTAAAAGAAAGGAATAAATAAATGAGGCATTCATACCTCTAGCTTTTCACTGAAATCTTCTGTGTAGGGAATGAATCTGCTATCTGTGTCCCCCTTGTAAAACCAAGTACAGCGCCTCACTTCAGCTGGCTCCTCTTCCCAGTACACAGCTTTCCTCACTCGGTCATAGAGGTAGACATCGTATCGCCCTCCATCAGTGCCAAGAACCACACTCTCTGGGTCTGGCTGGACTAGAAAACAAAGACCACATTTTCCCCAACCAATGTAAGACCTATTTAAAAATGACAAATAAAAATATTGTGACTAATCAATACTTAATGACTAACAACCAGAGTATAGAAGTTTAGGGCTGGAGATTTAACTCAGTGGTGCCGCCACCTGCCTCATAATTGCAAGGTCCTGAGTTCAATCCCCGGCAACAGAAAAAAAAATTTTTTAAAATATAAAAATAAGTTTAAGATTAACCTATGCTATTCACAATCATAACATTTTTGGGCTGGGGATTTAGCTCAGTGGTTCCGCCACCTGCCTCACAAGCGCAAAGTCCCTAGTTCAATTCCCAGTACAAAAAACAAAACAACAACAACAACAAAAATCATAATTTTTTTTCAATACTAGGGATTGGACCCAGGGCCTTTCCAATGAGCTACATTCCCAGTCCTTTTTAATTATGAAAGAAGTTTTACTAATCAGCGTGTGGTGATACGAGTGTGTAGTAATCCCAGCACTCAGAAGGCTGAGGCAGAAGGATTATCACAAATTTGAGGCCAGCCTTGATTACAGAGTGCGTTCAAGTCTAGCCTCAACTACAACACAAGACCCCATCTCACAAAAAAAGAAAGAGGATCTCATTAAGTCACTGAATTGCTGGGGCCAGGCTCAAAACTGCAACCCTACTGCCTCAGCCTCCCAGAATGTGGGGATTACAGGCATGTGCCAACACATCAAACTGACTCTTTTGCGAAAAATAAATAGCCAGAATAAATTTTAAAGCCATGATCATAATGCAATTCAAAAAACTCATGAATTTTTTAAAATTTATAGCAATAACATCCACATACAGCAATGTTCCATGAAGGATGTTGATAGAGAATATTACCAGATTTTAAGTCTAATGATAAACTACTCCCAAGACAAAGAAATATATTTCTACAGTACAAGATTTTCAGAACTTTAACACATCATTTTTCTCAAGAAGTGGAAATAAGCCAGGTGTGGGGTACACATCAATAATCAGAGCAATCTGGGAGACTGAGGCAAAGAGGATCATAAATTCACACCCAGGCTGGGCTACTCAGCAATTTAGTGAGAACTTGTTCTCAAAAATTAAAAAGGGATGGGGATATAGCTCATTGTAAGGCCCTGGGTTCACCCAGTGTCAGAGATGCTTACTTGTGATTGCAGAAAATTTTTTCACAGAGCATCTCCAGGATCCAGAGTTCCACAGAAAATGTTTTATAAATGCCTCCATAACTACATAATTCCAAATGAAGTAAGGGATATAGGAAAATTGGAACTTGGAGTATCGAGTATAGAAACAACTCTATTGCTCTGATTTAAAACACCTTTAAAGAAAGGAAATGACTAAACCATACCTGAAAACCCCTTATTCAGATAACTCAGAATTTACAATAGTATCACCATCTTTTTTTTTTTTTTTTTTTTTTCAGGGATCAAACTTAGGACCTTGTGCTTGCGAGGCAGGCACAGCACCACTGTGCTAAATCCCGGGCCCCCACCACCTTTTTTTTATAAAGTACAGAATCTGATGGATTCTACAAAAATTAAGGAGTTGAAATTTACAAAAGTAAGCCATATTCTGCATTCCTTCTCTTCATAAAATCAGATGTGAATGAAAACATGATCAGCACTAACCTGAATTATAGACTTCTTCAAGATTCAAAGAGTCCAGAGTACTGAAAGGCATCCATACTTGTTTGCATTCTACCTCCTTGCAGTAAAACCAGTGGGGCTGGACTGGTTCATACTGATTTTGAAGTACAAAAGGAGGTGGCCCCTGCACAGAGGGACCTCCAGGTTTAACAAGGGCTTGTTGTTGTGCTGGTGACTGTACTGAAGGAGGAATCTGAAAAGGACAACAAAGTTAAGACTGTCATGTTAGTTCAAAAGAATAATTTTGCATATGCTTTAGAATTAAATGGACATTAATAATAATTATGCTATCTATATTTCTAGTGTAACTACTTACTATAAAAACTAGACTCCAAAGCAAATTTTTTTTTTTTTTTTTTTTTGGTACCAGGGATCAAACTTGGGTCCTTGTGCTTACAAGGCAGGCAGCAACACCACTAAGCTAAATCCTTGGCCCCTAAAGCAAGTATTTTTTTAAAAAATATAATAAAACCCCAAATCAGTTGCAAAGTGAACTAGATTTCTACATAATAATGGCAAAGTAAACTAACACATTCATGAAATCAATAGCATATGTCTTCTACTTTTATTTAATTTTTTTTTAAGGGTTCTGTCTTGTTTTTTTGTTTTGTTTTGCTTTGAGATAGCATCTTGCTACATAGTTCAGGATGGCCTTGAATTCACTATGTAGCCTATGCTGGCCTGGAACTGGCAGTGATCCCGCTGCCTCAGCTCCTGAGGACTGTGACTGCAGTCGTGCAGCACCATACTCAGCATTCTCTAACTTTTTAAGTGTGTGTGTTCCTCAACCCAACCACTCCATTTTTTAAAATTTATCCTAAATGTGTAACTACAGAAACAAAAATTTATCCAAAAGGTTATTCATAAAGGGAAACCACTGTAAACAATTTCAAAAGCTAACAGAAACTTTATTAATTTACACTAAATACAGTAAATTAGGCCAGGTATGAGGGTACACAGACAACTAAAGAAAAGAGGATCACAAGTTTGAGGCCAGCCTGGTCAACTTGGCCAGATCATTTCTCAAAAAAAAATAAATTTTTTCATGTCTCAAAAATTTTAATTAAAGGGCTGACAATGGTACCTTGGCAATCCCTGAGGTCAAATTACCAGTACCAAAAACAAAACAAATATTTTATTTCTGTTCAAATGCTAGAACTAAGGCCATTAAAGATGTCTTAGAAAAAAATTTTACAGCATCTACAATATGTTCACAAAAACAAAAATTATAAAAATCATAGGAACTGGGGCCATGGATTTAGCTCAGTGGTGCCGCCACCTGCCTTGCAAGAACAAGATCCCGAGTTCAATCCCCAGTACCAAAAAAAAAAAAAAAAATCATAGGTGCTACAAGATATTTGCCTTAAGAAAAGATATACAACAAAGTGAAATCAAGCCAGGTGCAATGGTACACATGTGCCCCTAGTCCCAGCTACTTGGAAGGCTGAGGCAGAAGGATCCCTTGTACCCAGGAATTCAAGGTCAGCTTGGACAACTAACAAACCCCATCCCAAAAACTAGAGAGAAAAGGAGAGGGGAGGGGTGGGGAGGGAGGCGAGAAAAGAAAAGTTAAATTGGTTAACTATGAATAATTTTTTTCAGTGCCAGGGACTGAACCTTAGGCCTCATGCATTCTAGGCAAGTACTCTACCAATGATCAACATCCCTGATCCTTTTTCTTTTGAGAAAGGGTCTTGCTAAGTTACCAGGCTGGCACTGAACTTGTGATCCTCCTGCCTTAGCCACTGGAGTAGCATGGATTACAGACATGAGCCCCCCTCACCCAGCTCCCCCCACCCGTTTTTTTTTAATGAGTTGATTTCCCCTTGGAAGTCAGCTGAACAAGTAATTAAGAAAAAAAAGTAAGTTCATAAAATTTACACAACATACATGTTATTCCATCATCCCCCTTTGAGATGTAAATTTACCGTCTAGATCCAAATTATATAAATATAGGGCCGAGGATTTAGCTCAGTGGTTCCAGAGTCTATCTCACAAACACAAGGACCCAAGTTCAATCTCTGGTACCAAAAACAAACAAACAAACAAAAAAACCAAATTAAATATAAATAAATTATTGAAGAAGCTGAGCATGGCAGCACACACATAATACCAGCACTTGGGAGGCTGAGGCAGGTGGATCACCATGAGTTTGAGGCCAACCTGAGATACCTCGCAAGACCCTGTCTTAAAAAGGCAAAACAAGAATAAATAAATTACTGGAGAAGTCAATGTTAGTCCCTGTTGGGCCAGGGATTTAGCTCAATGGTTCTGCCACCTGCCTCACAAGCAGGGGTCCCAAGTTCATTCCATGGTACCAAAAAAAAAAAAAAAAAAAATTTTTTTTTCAGTTTCTGTAACTGAGTGTTTTGATTGAATAGTATAATTAAACAATGAGCCACACCAGTAATTTCACCAGTCTAGGAGGCTGAGGCAAGAAGATCTCAAAATAGAGTCTAGCCTGGGTAACTTAGCAATTTAACAAGACTTTTGTCTCAAAATAAAAAAATTTTTAAAGGTTGGGGATTAATTCAGTGCAAAGACCCCTAGAGCAAAATCAGTGCAAATCCCCAGTGCTGGGTGGGTGGGGGGAGATAAGAAAACATGAATGAAAAGAATAACTGTTTAAAAAAAAAAAAAATTTAGCTGGGCGTGGTGGCGCATGCCTATAATCCCAGAACTCGTGAGGCTAGGCTGAGGCAGGAGGATCGCTGTGCGTTCAAGACCAGCCTGGGCTACATAGTGAGTTCCAGATCAGTCTCAACTACATGGTGAGACCCTGTCTCAAAAAAAAAAAAGAAAGAAAGAACCATCTTAAGGTGTCACATATCCTACATGACATTTATTATTGGTAATTTACACTAAAACTTGATAATATTGGTGTTTGGCTAACTCATTGAAATAAATTATTACTTCAGTAAACAGGTAATATAAACTAAAATATGTGCCCTTAATGAGCTGCCTTTACAATTTTACTTCAAAGCGTGCGGCATCTGCAAACTAGCCCCTGACAATAATGTGGCCTTATATAAATTATAAAATGCACAAATTTCTTTTAAAACACTGCCTAAGGATAGCAAGACAGACAATCACACAATCAGGAATAAGATCTGTCCACATACCAGCGGCAAAGATGCTGGGGGCATCTGGTAAATCTGTACTGGGGGTCCAGAGGCTGGCGGGTGAGTGAGATGGCCTGGGGTCTGGCACTGTTGCAGCTGTGGGGGTGCGATGTAGGGATTAGCCCTACTGCTGACAGGGGTGTGGCGATATGGATTATATTCTTGTTGGGGGTTTCCTTGGGGTGGGCTCCCAAAATTTGAAGGAGGGAAACCACTTGGCTGAGAAGGCAGGTAAGGATTTATTCCCATCTGTGAGGAAGGTGGAGCACCATACTGAGCCTTTGAAACAGATGGCGGAAATGTAGTCAACCCATCCTGGGATTCAGTTGTGAAAGGGAGAGCAGGCGGAGGCTTGGAGAATGCTGATTGTCCAACCAGTGTTGCTGCAGTCGTTAAGGGTGACTGTCCAATATTCCCAAAAGGATCACTATTGCTCGATACCTGAGAAAAGTAACTAAATGTCTGTGAGGTGGATGTGTGAACAGAAGTCTGACCAAGGAAGCTGTCCTCCTCACCAACATCTGTGGAATCCTCTGAAACAGAGCAAGACAGCAAATGGTTTAAAGAGTGCATTGTTATTCCATAAGATTCTGTAAGGACGGGCTGTCAATTATACCTCTTGGGTTGGGGAGTTAGCTCAGTGGCACCGCGCCTGCCTCACAAGCACAAGGTCCTGAGTTTGATCTCCAGTACCAAAAAACAAACAAACAAAATATTCTACCTCTTAATTTATTATTCTAACATATTTAAGCAGGGAAAAAAAATACAACAAAAGAGCCAGGTGTGGTGGCATATGCCTGTAAAACTAGCTCTTGAGAGGCTGAGGAAGGAGGATCACCATGAGTTCAAGGCCAGCCTGAGCTACACAGTGAGTTTAAGGTCAACCTGAACTAAATAGTATATACCCTGTCTCAAAAAACAAAAAAAAAAAACGACAGCAAAACCTGTTTTTCCTTGCAAACTTTTCCTTCAAAATGAAAAACTAGAAAACATGAATAAGAAAAATCTACCCTGCCATGGTGGTGCATACGTAATCGCAGCTGCTCAGGGGACTGAAGGAGGAGGATCACAAATTGAAGGCCAGATAGCTGGATGTGATGGCTCACATGTGTAATCCTAGAACTTGGGAAGCTGAGGCAGGTGGATCAACCCAAACTTGAGGCCAGCCTGGACCACAAAGTGAGTTTAAAAACAGCCTGAACTACACAGCAAGACATGGTCTCCAAAAAAAAAAACAAAAACAAAAAACACATCAAAACAAAAAAATCAAGACTAATTTAGATAACCAAGCTAAACACTGTCCCAAAAGAAAAAGAAAAAAACGGGCTGAAGAGATAGCTCAGGATTAAAGTTCTTGCCTAATGTGCTGAATGAAGTTACAGTAGAAGAGAGAGAGAGGAAAAATACTAAAAGAAAAACCCAAAGTAAAGAAAAACTGTAATTCACTCATCATCCCACCTCCCAAAGACAAGCACTAATAATGTTAACATTTTGGTATAGTACTCTCCATACTTTTTAAATAAATGTAGTTAACATTTATTTTGTAAATACATCTGTATACAGGAGCTTTTAAGAACAGAAACAAAATCCATAACTAGTATGCTCACTTACTAATTTGAATCTTTTTTTCTTCCCTGGTAAGATATAATTCAAACATTGCCTCATGAACCAAATACATGTAATTTTATTTCTACAGTACAGATATTCTGTTGACAAGAACGGGTGTGTCAGGGCTCTTATTTCCAAAGCAAATGTACAGACAAGCCTGCAGTATTTGTATTTCCAAGGTAAAGTAGGCCAACCATTAATTACCATCCTTAAAATCATCAGGGTCACAACCAGTAATTAATCACTACAGAACACCAAATCACTAGGAAAGACGTTTTTCTGGGCCAGGGATTTAGCTCAGTGGTTCCACTGCCTGCCTTGCGAGCACAAGGTCCTGAGTTCAATCTCTGGCACCAAAAAAGAAAGAAAGAAAAGACGCTTTTCTAATTAAGGGAAGTTCTCAATTCCCTTTGCCCAACTTAATCTTCACTGTGGGTAATATATCAACTCAAATAATTTCACTGCTGACCTGCTACCAAGTTGTAAAATAAAAAAAGCATTTCCCTCTATGTGACCACAAAAGTCTACCCCACTCTGCCTTACTGAACTTTAATGAGTCCTTCACTTACAGCTTTCATCTTCCTCCCCATTTGTTATCTTCTACTTGTGGAGGTGAGGAGTCTATCAGAGAGGTGGACCCAGGCCAGCACAGGGAATATGACCCCTGCCCCTACAGATGCGCCAAAGTTCCAGCTTCTCCTTGACTTCCACTGAAGGAGGCCACTGGGCTCAGAGATTCTGCCTTCAGCCCCTAGGCTGATCCCGCTGTATTTTATACCCTAACTACAGTACTACACTATTCCAGTTTGGGCCACAGTCTAAAGGACAGCTCTAAATATCACAACCCAGACTATAACATTTGGGATTGTGTCTTTTGGAACTGTTATTGGTACACTATTGCAAATATTCCCTTATCACTTGTCACTTTGTAACTAAAAATAAAACAATGCCTCCTGCACAAAGCCCTTCTTCTGTTTGCATCACTCTACTTTTCTGATGTATTTCTAGTTCCACCCCTCTTTGCAGTCCTGTGATTGTCACTTGGACTCATCCTCTGTAGTTCTCAGTTCATCCCCCAACAATGGAAAGCATGGGAAAAACATCTGCGATCTTGCACCTTTTTTGGGAGGGTTCTTTTTGGAAAAGGTCTCCCTAGGTAATCTAAGATGGTTTGGAACTTGCTGTATTGCCCAGGCTGGCTTCAAACTCATAATCCTCCTGCCTCAGTCTTCCAAATGTTGTGATTACAGGTGTATGCCACTACCCCCATCTTCTTTCACCCTTCAAGAGAACTTCAGGTTGACCTAGTCCAAGAAATATTTTTCTAATTAGCATCAATTATAAATAAAGTTGTGATCTCCGCATATTGCAGGACTCATCTCAGGGCACCTTCTAATTTCACGTGGACACATATCCATCTAGATCCACAACCTCAGTGAGCACTTGTACACTTGTGACACCCCAAACTATTTCTCAAACCCAGACTGTCCTTATGTGTTTCAGAAGCTATTTTCCAACTTCTTCCTCAAAACTTCCAACAGATTCAGCCACGTACACTTCAGACTTAATACACTTAAAACTGAATTTACTGTCTTAAATTCAGTGCACTTTAATGAGAGGCTGTAGTCTGCCTCTGGGCTGGGCCTGGATCCAACTCTCTGATGGACTCCTCACCTCCTGCAGAAGTTAAGAGGGAATGAAAAGTACAAGGAAATACTAGGAGGAGGAAGATGAAAGAAGAAAGTGAAGGGCTCCTGTGCCACTGTGCACTTTTACCAGATCTCACTATCTCAACAGAAAACTCACTAACATCCATCCAGATTCCAGCCAGAAACCTCAAGCCTCTCTGACCATTCCTCTCTCTCTCTGGTACTCTTCTTCTAACTAGTTAGATACTCATTACAAAATGAGTAAAAACACTAGACAAATATGGCACCTCAGGCCTGCAATCTTAGCATGCTGGGAGCCTAAGGCAGGGAGGATCATAAGTGTGAGCCCAGTTAGGGCAATTTAGTAACTTAATGAGACTGTCTCAAAACGGAAAAATATTAAAATTAAAGGGCTTGGAATGCAGCTCAGTGCAAAGGCCCCAGTAATGGGAGGGAAAGAGGAGAGGAGGAGAGGAGGGGAGGAGGGGAAAAGGGGAAAAGGGGAGGAGGGG